ATCTTTCTCTCCGATCGATGATTGGACAGCTCTTCGCCCTAGAGTAATCTCATCCGTACGTAAGGGGGTAGGAATCATTTCCGAACAAGTCTATGCAAACATCTCTGACCTAATATTCATCCGCCTATCCCAGAAAAATGGGCGGTCGCTGACACTAGTCAATGTATACAACGCGCCCCCAGGATCGATTGGCGTAGGTAACGGGGCTAATGCTCTCAAAGCTACTCTGACGGCTCCTCTCTTGGGAAACTACTTAATTTTTGGTGATTTTAACCTACATCACTCCAGGTGGCAGCCCTCAATAGGACGTGGCCCCCCTCCTGGGGCCGTGCAGTTTGTGGAGTGGCTGGATTCTGTTCCCCTTATCCTCCTATTCCCACCTGACAAGCCTACCCATAACCGAGGCAACGTTCTAGACTTGGCATTTGGCACGAGTCTTACTGTAAATAACGTTTCCTGTGGCACTGCTCGACATCTCGCAGCCACGTCTGACCATCTGCCACTATTAGCAACTGCAGGCTGGGCCAACCCTCAGCTCCCTCAAGGGCGGATCCGGCCCGACACATTAGACCCAACCCTTTTCAGGCAACTCTTAGAACTAGACTGTGGAGGTCTAGAACCTATTCCATTATCCCCTTCAAGTGAAGATTTAGACAATCAAGCGGAGGTGCTCGTGCAAATTATATACGACGCATATTACGGTGCTGCAAAGCGCACTCTAGGTGCCGGACATGGCAATCCTTGGTGGAACGATTCATGCGAAGAGACTAGGAAGGGCTACAAGATAGCTCTGCGGTCTCTATTCAATGAAAGTGGTGTTTACGATGCCCAAAAAGCCTATAGGAAAATAGTACAAATAGCAAAAACAATTTTTTTCGGACCAAATTGGAAAGGGCTCGCACGGCTAAGCAGATATTTGGAGGAACCATGTGGCATAATTCTGCGGGAACTTATCGTTCACGCTCACTTAAAGACTCCTGCCTCCCAGAACAACCTCCAATCCAAAATCTTGCCGGAAAAATGGAGGCTCTTATGCAAAATCTACTCGCAAACTCCTCAATAGTTGTTGACATCCCTATGGATTCTCCAACAATATCTTCAACCTAACTGCCCTTCCCGTCCCCTACCGTCGAGGAAAGCTGAGACTCCATCTTACGTGCTGGCAACACAGCTCCTGGTGCAGATGGAATACCCACGGCCATTATCCGACGCGCGTGGCCTTTGATTGAACAACAAGTACTCTCTCTGTTTAACGCGTGCCTTTTGATTAGGCACCATCCTGAGTGTTTCCGGAAGGCCATTCTGGTGATCATATAAAAGCCGAACAGGACAGACTACTCTTCGCCCAGATCTTACCGCCCAATTGCACTACTTTCTGTACTTGGCAAAGGATTAGAGATATCTATTGCAAAAAGAATGACTTGGACTGCTATCCGGCATAAGGTAGTATCGAGTCAACAATTCGGCGCTCTCCCAGGCAGATCGGCTGATGATATAACTACCTGCCTTACCCACGATGCAGAGAAGGCACTTCACAAGGGTTATACAGCCAGTATGCCAACCTTAGATGTCAAGGGAGCCTTCGACGCCGTATATTCGGAACGACTTGTCCGCTGTCTACGAGAGCAAGGATGGCCTGAAAACCTGGTGCGCTGGGTAGGATTCTTTGCATCATGCCGAACGGTGTGCGTCTATCTTGATGGAGAAACAGGCCCCCACAACATGTGGACTGCGGTCTTCCACAAGACTCACCTGCCTCGCCCATCCTGTTTATACTATACATTTCACAGCTCTTCAAGATGGGAATGAAGAGGAAAAGATTCGGCTAAGCTGATGATGTTGCTCTCCTTGAGACAGGGCCTAACCTCCTGAGTAACTGCACAGCTCTCCCTCTCTCACTTGCTGGCGGAGGCAATAGAGTGTGGGGAAATGGAAGGCATTACTTTCGACCCAGAAAAATCGGAGCTACAAAAATTCTCTCGAAAACGGGATGGCCGCGACCCTTTGTCAACCCTTTCCGTCTCCTACAGAGATATAAGGGTCTCTGAAGATCCAAATAAACCCTTCACGCGCTGGCTAGGGGTCCACTTTGATCGAACCCTCTCATTTAAATGGCATGTCCGTATACTAGCTGAGAAGGCTTTCAAAATTGCCAACGCACTCCGTTCCCTCAGCAACACCGTCCGAGGAGCGCCCCCCCAACTTATCCGACAAGCCATCTTAGCTTATACACTTCCCATAGCCTACTATGGCGCAGAGACTTGGTGGCCTGGCCGCATCAGATACAGCAATAGACTCATCTCCAATCGAGTCGAAGGATACCTATCCACCCTCCGCAAAGTTGTTCTAACGGGAGTCAGAGCTTTCCTACCTATATATTAGACTACGAAAATACCTATTCTGTACTGCGAATCAGGTCTCCTCCCTCTTGATTTAGAGCTGGACTCTAAATCAAAATTTGCGGCACTGCGCATCCAACGCCTGGACCCAAGACACCCACTCCGGCAAAGAGCCATATGGATCCGGGCACACAATCGACGAGTCTCCTGTCTTGCGGGCTGGATTCTCCAGATTCCGAACACTGAAACGATCAACCCTCTGATTCAGCCGCCATGGCTCAAAATGGAGACACAGTACAATAGTGTAAGGCGAGTTACGCACCCTCCTATTAATCTCCCTTCTGGCATCCCTTTCAGAGATCTAGCAGTCTATACAGATGGCGCTCGATCTGAGATAGCAGAATCGCCCAGGACAGCCGGTGGAATTGTTATCTTTCAAGCTGGCCTGATGGTTTACCGCGAGAGTCTGTCCCTTGACTCGACGCTGTCTCCTTTCGACACAGAAGTGACCGCCGTCAAAGAAGCCCTCAAAGCTGCGCTTTCCCTACCAACAGCACGCTTAGAAAATATTTGGATACTCACAGGTAACCTAGAGGTAGCTCGCCTTTTATTTCAGGCCATAATTTGTTCGTCGCAAGTTGTTTTTCAACAAATACACACCCTCTCCCAAGACTGGCCTCTCCACACCCGGCTCCTACACATATCTCCCGGGAAAGTCAAGGCTTATTGGATCCCAAGCCACTCTGGCATATTGAGTAACGATTTGGCCGACGCCTCTGCCCGGGTGGGGCTTTCAAAACCCCAGCCTATACCTTTTTTTTTTTTTTTTTTTTTTTGCATCAGATTTTAATTGCGTATGCAGCTATCTAGCTATGACACAATATCAGAGAAGTGTATGATAGATGACTCAATTTACAAGAAGAGCACTCATGCCTCGGATTTCATTTGCAAGTACCACTGCGAAGTTATGGTGGCTTTTTCTTCACCCCAAGTCAACCCTCATCCGTGAATACCCACCCAGGGGAACATCTCAAAAACCCTGGGTTATCCAGACATGCCTCCATCATCTTTCAACTTTTCTCCGCGCGATATGTGATCTGAGGTGTCTCCTTCCCAAGTGGAGTAGGTGCCCAGGCTACTCAAACTATACCAGAGAACACCACCAGGAGGCGGATCACAACACCTTCCATCGTTTACTTGTTTTTATAGTGTCAACTGCACTCTCGCAAGCGAAGTCTTGGCGCGCACAAAGCCCAATTCGAAAAACTCCTTGCCAAAATTCAGAATTTCACGCCCGTCGAGGTTTTATCCTTCCTTCGTATCATCATGTCGACTTATCCTGATTCCTCTCAAGTCCATCTCAAATAACTATCTCCCAGATTTGTGCGCCACGCTTTGCTTCCTCCGTCGGGTATAAATATCGGCGTGGGCGTGTATTTGGCGGTCAACAGAGAAGGTCGAAGAGCGGTGTGGTCATCGGGATGAGGATGTACTTGGTCGTACTTGTAGACTTGATGAGACGAAGATAGGAGTCAAACTCGTTAGGAGCGAAATAACGACGTGGATAAGTAACTTGGATTTTTGCCTCGTGGGCCGACTTCTTTGATATTGCGAAATTTGACTGAACTTGGCTCTGGGAGAATATTTCACTCCCAGGTTCGTAGAGGACACCGCGTACAGGTGTTCAGTCTTGCCCTCCAGCCTATACCTTGTGGGTACGTTTCTCTTGATACCACGAAAAATTGTATCAACGCAGAAGTATCGACGGCTATGAAAGACTACTGGGATCGATATGCTCCAGTTTCTTACACGAAGCTTGCTATCGACTCATACTCTCTTCGCCCTAAGGAACTCTCACTATCTAGAACGTTTTTCTCTAGACTATACGCTGCTCGCTTAGGACATGGTGACTTCACAGAATACCACCGCCGTTTCAATCACGAGGGCGCTAACGTTCATTGTGGCTGCGGACAGCTCCAAGCCCCATTGCGCTTCCTAGAGTGCCACCTAACCACCCACAGACCCCCTCGAGCTCCAGCATCTTCAAGGTACCAAAGAAATTTTGCTGGAAACCTGGGAAGGGGTCTGTAAGAGATAGACTCTATTCTCATGGTGTCTAAACTGTGTTTATAAGACTGCAGGTTTCCGCCGCTGATCATACATCTATGGGCAAATTACACTTTAGGATATGTGCACGGAAAAGAAGGCTGTGAAATTTAATACAGAACTGACGGACATGATAGAACATAGTTTCGGACTTGCGCATAATATCGGAGGCAGGTCACAACTCTGTATCGAACATATATCTCATGGGATATAGGTGCCCTATCTTTGACTTTGGGAATATCTATAAAAGAAGGCATTTATATGTTCATATTAGAGTAGACTTCACAGGAGGGTATTTCCATAATAAATATATATAATAAAGATACTTGATAAAGACTTATATTATTTACATGCAACTGTAATCGCAGCCACATCATAATCGACAAACAGACCACATTCATTATATGTCTGAATATCTAGATAACTTAAGTTGAAAAGAGTCCTACGTGTAGCAATGTGGCTTTCTCTTTCTGAGTTTTACATGAAGGCCTGCCCTAGAAATCCCAGTGAAGAAATAAATAGATCTTGAACTCTGCCACATCTTTGAGCCTTGCATTATGGATGGATGGTGCGGTATTTCTGAATGGATCTATTAGTAGCATCTCGAGAGTGGCTGTAATACATCAAAAGGTTAATGAGCCTTGGGAACTGGCTGTAAAAGTGCAGGTGCTACGCTACACGCAATCATGTAATTATAGAATTGCCCTGCAAACCTAGTTAGGAAGTAGCAATGGCGAAGCTACCGGGGCAGTAAGCACTGGCGTCCATGCCTCTAGGTAGTTTAGTGGGTAGTAGTGACCTAAGCCAAACTTGGGGCCCCGATGGACGAAAAATAGATAACAAAACAGACAAACGCACAATTCGAGAAATCCGAAAATTCTCTTTTTCCCTTCTCATGATTATTCCTGTGCTTGAGTTCTCGAATTGATGACCATCGAAAGGCGTCCCTAAATGCCTCCGATGAAGAGCAAACGTCCAAAGTCGACCATTTCTGTCGGCTTTGAACGGACACATATGTGTCCAAAACCTCCTGGCCTCACGCAAAATTTATCAAGCCTATTTGCGAGTGAGGCCTTTGTCCCTAGGAACTCTTCTACCCTTCCCAATTAAGAGATGACTGATTCTGATCCGATCAGAACAGAAACAAATGGTCAACAGACCGCGAAACCCACCGAGCTGGCCCCCGAAGCAAGCAGCTCCAGGAAAGTAAAGGAGGTCGTCAGACAAAGGACGACCGAACGTGCAGAATCGTCTGCCGGAAAAAATGCTGTGCCAGCCTCAAAAGGCGCAGCATCGACATCAGCAATGGAGTTTCCTCCGGAGCTACAAACCGTGATGGAGGCCGAAAAGCGACGTACGACGCAAATTACGGCCCGCCTCGACATCTGCTCGACTGCGATGAAAAGTGTTGAAGCAGCACTTTCGCCTCTTTCGATCAGCGAAAATAAAGAATTCGTAGACGGTATAAAAGTCTACCTACGAGCAGCTATTGGCCAGTTCGTTCAATCCGGTCCAGGAAGCACACCACCAGTCCTTCCTACCCGCCCCGCCAACCCTCTCCCACCGAGGGCTCCAGAAATTAGGGCACCTAACACTACAAAAACCCAGACTCCAGCCCAAAAGACAACTTGGGCCACCGTAGCTTGGGTAGGCCTAGTCAGTAGCGCTGGGCCATCGACAAAAAAGGCAGCACCGCCCGCCCAGAAAGCAAAAAGTGCCAACTCGAGTGGAAAAGTCGATTCACGACTTTTTCTGCGCCTTGACTATTTCCATCCCCACCGTCTCCTCTCTCCAGCTGGCGTAAGGCTAGCGGTGTCTCAGGCGCTGGGAACCGCTGCCAACAATATCACGCTGGCTCAGCGGGTAAAGACCGACTTTGCAATAACCGCAAAGGATGAACGCGCTCGAAAAGAGCTCCTAGATTCCTCCACATCACGGAGCGAATCTGGAATCAAACTGGAACCAGCATCAAATCTGGTTGCCATGCAAATTGCCATCGTCCCGGAGACAATTCGAACTCTTGCTGACCCAATCGCCGTGACGGCAAAGATGGTTGCCGATGAAGTCACGCGAGTGATTAAATCGGTTCCCTCTCTGGTTCGTCCTCATGGGTCCAGCAAACCCGGAGCGCCCTACATCAATTAGCAAGCGCTCTTTCCCCGAGAATCCGCACCTCGACCCGGATTCCGCCTTTTCGAAGACTCTGCAGTAGCTAAGCTCCTCCAACCCCGCCGACAAATACAACAATGCAACCGATGTCATGGCTTTCACACCACCAGCGGCTGTTCCCGCGCTCCAACTTGCTGGAATTGCGGGTCTAATATGCACTCGGAATCAGAGTGCAAAGCCCTCTCACGTTGTCGAAACTGTGGGGGACCCCACCGATCAGATTCTAGGGACTGCGTTGCTAGACCCAGGAAGTCGGGACCGGTGACTAAAGAGAAGCTGGCGACCATTCGCCAAGTCGAGCAAGGTCACTATGCGGCATTCGCTCGAATCAAAATTGCAGCCAAAAAGGCCGAGGAGGATAAGATTGCCTCTACGAAAGACGTGTCCATGGAGGAGGGATCGGGTTCCAGTGTACTGGAATACTTAGAAGAAGTCTGAGGATACAGCAACCCTCGGTGAAGTTTACAACAGCTTCAATTATAGAGCAGGATACCGGCTGAATTTAGGTTATCTGCGAACTCACCTTTCGCTCTCAGCGGAGATCAGGAAAAGTCACTTGGAAGATGTGACAGGAAAGAGAACAGGCGAGAAGCGCGGGATCCGAGCCACATGGAAAAATCTTCTAAATTTGATTTCAGTCTTGACTTTTAGTTTTGATTTTAGTTTTTGATTACAGTTTCTGAGTTATAATTTACCTGCTACTTTTTCTGTAGCGGGTCTCGCGGTTGGAATGAGTTAGGCCTGTAAGCAGTGATCCCCGCCGGCTCCACCAGTCCTGTACCGATAGTGGACCAAGAGCTTTAGCTTAGGACTTTAATATAATAAAATAAATTAAAAAATTCGGGCACCCCCTAGCCAGGGTCCAAATACCCAACTATATGAGGAATGGTCACGTCATCTACGTCTAACCTATGTAGCATGATTGATAGAGCGAACCTGATGGGACTACAGGCTGCGCTTCCAGCAATGAGGACAACACCAAATGTAGTCCTTCACAGAGAAGGAGGAATCCCGCCAGCAAAAGTCATACTTGAGGGAAATCGACTTCGACTATTGGCAAGGCTTAAGACCCTTGATGATCGACACCCTCTGAGAATCCGCGCTTCTGTGTGCCCGAATGTCGGCACCCAAAAATTCAAAAAGGCCTCCAAAACCTCAGCTAGACCAGAAATACAGATGTCAAAATTACAACGTGCTTACCGAGAGCTTCCGGAAGCAGAAGCCCATGAAAGTCTGATGCTGGTCGTTTACCCTAGGAAATCAGGCCCAAAGCCAATGGAACGCGAAGATTGCTTTAGATGGATTAGCGACATGCCAGGAACGGACATTTGCGCATACTCGGATGGTTCATCGGAAGGACATGGACGCTCCGCCTGGGGTTTCGTTCTGAGGAAGGATGGGAAACTCATCGGCAAAGGAAGTGGCATCAAGCACGGGGGAGAGGTGCTGGATGTAGAGAAAGTAGGAGCAAGGAAGGCTCTAGAGGCCGCACTGGAGTTCTTGGACTACGAAAAGTTGTTATGCTCAGCTATGTAGTATGGTAGATCTAGCAGCTGGTGCATAGGTAGTTATTATGGCAGCATGGCACTATGGCGCATAGAGGGGATCCAGTCTCTACATAAAGACATTACAAGTAGTAATGTGTGCAGTATGAGAGATGGGTTGTTGATAAAGGATAAATGGCATGACTGCTCAGTTGGTTGCACACTTTGATGAGCTGCATACTGGTAACGTGATCAGTCTACAAGCGAACAAGCTAGGGGATAAGAGACAGTTTCTCCCAATCTGTAACATTAGAATTATCATAGTCACTTCACTTCTGCACACTAATGAAGATATATCTCCACATACTATCTTAGCTGTTCCAGCGCAAGTGTACATTCCCAAATCATATACCAATCATAATAAAAGTGCAGGAAAGTAGAGGGTCGCAGCAAATCCACGTGTTTCTAGACAGCCAACAGGCTGTAAGCGCCCTAACGACAGGCTCGTCCTCAACTAGCCTTGAAGATGTACGCAGCTTCCGTGCATTAAGCAATGTGGCAAAAGTATTGGTAAAATGAGTGCCAAGGCACGCAGGGATACAAGGGAACGAGGAGGCAGAGATTGTCTCGGCTGGCAAGGAAGCTAATCATCGCTTTATGCTTCCAGACCTTACTTCTTTTTCTTGAATGTATGGAGTCAGTGCTGGGGAGCTGTGTGAAAAGTAGAGCTTTCCAGGGCCTTCAGCTATCAGAACTTGACGCACGCTCATTTGCAGTCGTGTCATGTATTATTCTGGCTGTCTGTTGGAAATATAGTTTCCTGCTTCTCTTTCCATTGACCAATGTGGTTGCATGCATCTTGCCTGAACTATATTTCTGAGTTCAGGCAGGAGGCCATACTTATGATCCAATCGGACTCAAAGTTTGAGTCTGCTTGAATCCTATTCTTCCCGAACAAATCCAGTATTTGGTTTGTTTGTATTTTCTATTGCATGACCCAGTATTCTGAGTCAGTGGATAATTCTTTTCTGGTCTGGGATCTCACTTATTTCTGCAGTCGAGTTGGTTCCGGGTAACCTTTCTTCCTTGTAATTCCACTGTATATATCATAGTACCTGTAGTCTAATAGTCAATTAAGCAAACTGAACTTCTTCTCTGTTCTCAGGCAATTCTTACTCCGAAGTCTTCTCTATACTCTAACACTGTCTGAATCGGCGATCTCTTGTCCATACCGAAGATCTAAGCATCTGATAGTATCTTTCGGGCCCTCAGCCGCACGGAGGGCTAGTGGATGCCACATTTACATTCTTCGCATGCAGGCTGCTGATTACAGCATCTTTTGCTGGAGGATTATGGATGCTGGGGGTACTCCCGCTTCACGGTAAAGAGCGCTATTGGGAGTGGTACACCAGGCTGGGAGTGCTACTTGGATAGCTTTCATTATTGTTTTGTCTGGCGGAGATATGTGCCAGCCTTTGCCAGTGCCGACTTCTTTATCTTGTAGCAATGTTATTTGAGTGAGACCAGGCCACCATGCTTCTGCCCTGTATACTGTGGTGCCATGGTGTCAAGTTTTCAGTGGGGCTTTGGCAGGAGATTTAGCGTGTAAATTAAGACGCCTTAGGCATAGTCACCTTCCATATTGGAGTTAGCCCCTGTATTTGTGCAAATTTTTGAAAAATTTTGTCCGGCAGTTTTTATCCGGACACCATAGTTTGCAGTGGGTCTTTCCTTCGTACTAAACCTAATTTGTATAATGATCGGCTGCATAACATTTGTGCATTTTTGCTACTTGATTTTATAACTTATTTACAAGAGTTCAAAGGTTTTCAAATTACAATATAGAGCCAGTCTCATCCTAACCTTAGATCTGAACATGTGGCTGGAATATTTTCAGGCCTTAATATCTGGTCGGTCCCCCATCTGCATCTACCACAGCCTGACATCTTGCTGGCATACTCTGAATGAGTC